CTTTGCACCAGAGCCAAGGTCCACAGACTATTGCACCTAGATGCAAGCCTCCACCCTATCTTTCTATAAGAAAATACAATCTTAGCTACCAGTAAAGATGCTGAAAAGCCATAAAATCTCACTTAATTTGCTTTCATTTCCGCCACAAAAATGATGTGCGGTATTATAGGAGTCAGCTTTGAGAGATGCAAATTAACCTTTGGAAGCCACTTTCGTCACATGCTACTTCAAATCAAACTTTATGTTGCCCATTTTAAAAGTCACCTTATCTGAATTTACGTAGCTAGTTCTAACTTTCCTGATTAAAAAAAAAATATATTTACTGTAAAGTGTTTATGTAAAGTGCTTGTTTACTGTATGTTTACTGTAAAGTGTGCACAAAAGTGCACATTTACAGATCCAATTGGCTCAGTAATGGGTAACCACTCTAAAGAGGGTTGAAAAACCTGAACACTGAAGGGATTAAAAACTAATCTGAGTAACCAAAAGTATAAAGCAATTTAATCTAGCTCCTAGTTTGGGCAGGCTTTGAAGACCATAGGAACTACGCTGCTGCAGAACTGTAGAGCTGAAGGCTCTTAGGTGATCAGCATTAAATGCAATGGCAGACTTGGTCTAGTTCACGTAATGACCAAAAAGACAACAGTATTCCCAGGACGGAATATTTCTTTTTTGTGGTAAGAGACATGGACAGGCAACAACTCTCAGGGATAAAGCTCTTAAATGAGACAGTGAGGGTACGACTGCAGGGCTTCTTACTACCTATTGCTTTACTCACCCTGTGTATAAAGAGAAGATTGCTGTCTCAATATTGCTCATCCAATGGTTTTTCCTTAAAAATAAAGATATAAACAAAAAAACAAAGCCCACAAACTACAAAGACTACTGAATGCAAAACATTTTAGCTTTTGTGGGGAAAATTCAAACACTGTCCAAGGAAATAAGTATGCTCTGACACTTCTGCAACAAGCCTTACCAGGAAGGTAACATATCGATACCTAGGCTTTTCACACTGCCTTTTCATGCTAGTTTAAAGAGTCCAAAGACAACAGTCCTGAAGATTTGGAAGGAGGAAGGAAGGAAGTTGTGTAGATGCAGGTCATTATTTTAGAGAGATGAAGGCTAAAATAGAACAAAATAGTAAACTGTCTTTGAATCTGTAAGTCCTATTGTGCTTCTACTGAAAGCAAGAATACCATTTCAATCCACTTTCGGAAATGTTTAAGTTACAGGCACTGAGTAATTACATATTATTAATGCAAAATGTGTACTTACTAGTCGTTATGATAACTGAGCAAATAAAAATGATGAGAAATGTATTTACACTAAATATTCACTACAAAATATCTAGTAAGTACAAGACCTCAGTGCTGAACAGAAGACTTTGCACCCAGCTGACAACTGAAAATTCTTTTTTTCTCTCTTTCTTTTAATGAAAGCTTGAAGTTTTCGAGATAACACAGTGCACAGCAAAAACTGTGGAGAGACCCTAAAAATCAATGGACCTGCAACTATTTTTAGACGTTGCTATTTTCTACTATCCCTGATGTTAAGCCAGTTTTGGGGAGATTTGGCAGCGTGCGTGTTTCTGTGACACATTTGCAATCAGCCACCATGTAAATTATCCCAGAAGCAAACTGAGAGCTGAGCAGAGAGAACATCCAGTTCTCCCATCCCTTTTATGTCACAAAAGGGGTCAGAATGTCATTAGATTCTACTATGACCTAAGAAGACACCGATTTTATATACTGAGCTGGTTTTTTTGGTGGGTTTTGTTCTGTTTTTTTAGCCAGGTAATTTCTTATTTCTAATTTTTTCGAATATTATTGATTTTTATCATAACCTAGGCATTCTTTACCACAGCCCCAAATGTATTTCTGTGCTATGTTAAAAATACATATTCAAAAAAGACAAAATTACTCCTTCTTATAATTCAAGACAGGGTTCATTTAATTTCTTGACTTTCAAGAAAATTAGCAGGGATTGCAAGAGGCAGGAAGAAGAGGAGAAATCCATCAGCCAGGAACAGACATTTTTTAGACTGAATTGCTGTCATCTGAAAGGGAATGATAATCTCCATTACCCTTAAAAACAGGTGTATACATTAGAGCAAAATTTCCCCTCGTGTAAGGGGCTACTAGGTATTCTGTGATGCTCTTCAATTCTGTCTTATGTAAGATTCTGGTGGTGTACAGATACTGTGCTGGCTCTCTGAACAGCTGCCTGTGGCTTTCACCTACTGAGATTTCAAAAGACTCCTTTGAAATGGAAAGAATGGAAAGACTCCCATTGGCTTAGTGGAAAGGACACCAGGCCTGACGTGAACACAAGATGTGCTTCATAATCTAACTTTATCAGCTCAGCTTTGCTCTCACTGAAGTCACAGCAGTTTTGCCCATGACTTCAACAGGAGTAGCACTTAGGTTCTACAAGTCTGAGCTAATTTAGTAACTCATGAATGATGAACAAGAAAGGTTTGGGAAGTCAAATGTTCTTTTTCACTGAATCTATAATTAAGTACCCATCACAATTAAATTATTAGCATTTAAAATAAGCAATTCTTTGAGCCAAGACACATCACCCCTACGTACGCACAGTTACAACATTTGACTCTGCAGGTAGTCTGGTTTACTATTCTGTATTTATAAATTCATTGGGTTTTTTCTGTTTTCTTATTTGCAGTTATGCAGTAATCAACTTACTTTAAAAACAAGCAGAAAAAGAATGTGATATGAACCAGGAAGTGAAATGGTACAGGGAAGAATGACCTCTAGGAACACTAGGACTGAATTCTATCATTTAGAGCAAAAAACACCACAGGGGAATTATTCTTCATGCAAGCTTAAAGGTAGAATTTGCCCATTCAAAACATGAGAAGTACCTTTTTCTTATATACTTCTTGTCACCTACCACAATCCATGGTTTGATTCACCAAAGTAAGTAGCTTCCACTATTTCGGTAGGTATCGTAGCTGTGTCAGTTTAGCCAGCACCATTACTGAAGACACCACCATGACATTATGATGGTAACATACTTCATATTCTTAGTTTCTTCATTATTGCTTTTCCATTCGATGCTTGGGTTTGCCTTACTGCATTTTTTTTTTGTCTTCACAGCACTGTCACCTGCTGATGCAGCTAGTGCTCTAACCGTACTGGGACTTTTTGCACAGCTGCCAATTCTAACTTGAGCTGCGTGCCCAAGTCCAGGTTGCTAATCTGGAGAATGACATCCCTGTCTTGTGCTTCCATGCCCAGAAACTTGCTGTCTGTGATGCGGTGTAAAATTGCAGGCTACCTATTACTGCCAGAAGTCAACATTTTAATCAGTTAACTTTTCTGTGGCATTTTTTCATGCTCAAAATACAACTAAAATAATCATGCATCAATTCAGTTCTGTAGGACAGCTATTACATAGCAATTAAGTATCATTTATAAAATGAGAGTTACTAGTTGAAGTTGGTGCTTAAAGCTTAGCAACCACAAAATACAAATTGTTTCAGTGGAAATATCTTTTGAGCTTTTCTGAAAATGTTTTTGAAGATCAAGTGAAATCACCTACCTCTTTTTTTACTTTTCCAACACAAAGACTTGAAATAAGCATACTGTTTCTGCATATGCACTCATTTTACGTATGAACCCAGGCCACTAAGAATCTTCACAGGTATCTTTGTTTATTGATTGCAAACATTGTAACACTCAGCTCCATTAGAACAACTGAAATCTACTGTTTCTTTTTAGTGGCTATATGGCCATCATAAAATGGGTACTTCATGCTGGAAGAAGGCCCAAATCCCCAAGTAGTAAAGTGGATGAGAGGAGAATAAAATGGCCTCAGCAACGGATAAATTAAAATAACATTCATTATTTTTCCTTATTAAGTTTACAATAAATACGGAAGTACCGTATTTAAGAAATCTCGACCAAATGTTTCAAATTTTGGGTTATGTGAAATTACAAACTGAAACTAACTTTATGCTCCTTATCATAACTCATTTTTAAAAAGAAAAGTATACCATCAGATTGCATTGTCTTTCCTGAGAATTCCAGGTGCTCAACATCTATGAAAACCAAGCAGATTTTATTGAGGAGCTTAAATTTGGACTTAGCAACCTAATTTTAGTCTCTGAAGTTTGAATTTAATTTAATGTGACACTATATTCCTGTACAGGCCAAGCTTGGCCTCATGTTCTTTAAATAAAGCACCTTCAATTTTACTTGAAAGGATGATATCTAAATCAAAGTAGAAGGTTATTTTGTCTCCATTGGTTCTGAAGCTAGAACAAGTGGTCATGCAAATTATCCTGTTCGTACTAATTTATGCCAAAATATGTGGCGTATTTGTAACAGGTATCAAGAGCAGATTAGTACAAAGTACTGGGCAGAGACCAAAAGCTGCCAACATACTCTCCTTAGAATGTGATCTCACAGATATTTGTTGAACCTGTTTAAGGCCACTGCATATCGTATGGGTGAAAGACCATTTATTAATACACTGATATGCACAAAGCACTACGCCATTGCATTTTGTTCCAATTTTAAATGCACTAGTGCTTTAACAAAAATAAACTGTATTTCTGTAACAATTTAAGTACGGTAGTGGTGTAACTAGGAGCAAAATGCAAGCATGATCCCTGTGTGCCAGCCACAAGGTATGTTCAAGAGGCATCCATGACAACCTTCAGAAAATAATCAGTTTTCTTCGCAACAATCATTTACGGGAATCCATGAGAAACTCATACAGAAAACAAATCTGAACGTGCACCGGATGGCTCCAGTGTTTTTCTGTTTTTCATAATCAAAATAAACATGGCAGTGGGCTTAACATGAAGACAGAACTCCCGAAGAAGCCCAAAGGGGTTTTTTCCATGAGTAACATCCGTAGGACCAAACACTATGAAGAATGAAAACGTACAGTCTGAGTCCTAACAGGATTTAGTCAAGGACTGTACTATTTTACTTTGAGCAAAAGAAAGAAAAGACGTTTAAAGAATAACCAACCTTGAATTGTCCTCTTGAAGAAAGCCTTGCAGGCCTCGCAGGAAGCCACTCCATAGTGGTACCCTGATGCAATGTCACCACACACCAAACACAGTCTTTTGGGCATCGAGTTCAGCATATATTCACACTTGGTCTGTGAATCTTCAGCGATGGTACTGGAGCAGTCATCATACCGTTTCCTGACCGGCCCGTTGCCCCCAAGACCTGTGGCCGAAGGGTAGAGGGGAGGTGAGTCCAGCCCGTTCTGATGTCCATTCATGGTGGAACTGTAGCTCCCGCTGGCGTCTGAGGAGCCACCAGGGCTGTGGTGGTTGATGCTGTCCGTCAGAGAGGCAGGGCTCGACGGTTCCGTCTTGATGTACGACGAACAGCTAGAATCAATGTGTCGATCTTTGCTTGACATTCTGCAGAGAAGCCTGTAGTGGGGAGAGAGAGAGAAAGAAGAATCTGTGTATTAAAGACAGTGCTCTTTAAGGCTGCTCTGGAAGGGTTAGGGACTGCACATCATTCATTCATTAGTCAATACCTCTTGTTCTACATGAAGGTAATCAGCATAAGGGCATGACAGAGCTTTGTCAAAGCTCCAGACAGGCAGTAAACAAAAACTTTAAAGAGACCAAATCTGTCTGTTGTCCCCTCCACCTGCCCTCTAGGCTACATATCAACTTCACATCAACTCTAAATTCTGAACTTGTCATCTAGCGGGTCAAAAAATTTAAAAAATCCTATTAGATGACTTGGCTATTAAATGTCTTCCTTTTTACATTGGTATTTTCTTTCTGTAAACTCCGTCATTATCAGGAACAAATATTTCCAAGTTTGATCACATAAATGTTCTGCTCTGTAATTAATATTTGTCAAGACACTTGAGTAAAACACATATCCATCATCTACTGATCTGATCCCAGAATTGAAGAGCAAGTTTCCCCCAGTCTTTTTTTTTTTCTTTATTAATATTGCTTTATTACAGATACAGCTATTTAGTAACAGAGTAGCACATCAGCTGGGAACTCTAACAAATAATTAAGGTTGGACTCCATTTTCACAAAATCTAAGTGAAATGATTCATCAGCTCTGGCTGCAATTACTTTCTAGATATTATCCTCTATAGGATCTGACATTTTACATGTTCCATTCTTGCATTAAAAAAAATATATTAGAGGAAATTTTAGATAGAAGTTTTGTCTTTCAGAAGGTGAGATTCTGTCTTACTTCTCAGTTCTCACGTTTTCAGAATTAAGCATCTGAAATAAAACCATATAACATTTGATCTGACAAATTAGTGTTTTCTATGGGGCGGGGTGGGGGGGGAGAATCTTTGTCTATTCCATCCTCAAGTTTTTTATTATTTTTAAACATATTTTAGGAAGCACAAGGGACAAAAATAATCAAATAATAATTAGAAAGCTCAGAATCAGATGCTGTCTTTATTTTCTACAGATGTGATTATGAGACCACAGTAGCAAATGGCCTACCCAGCATTTTCCTGGCAGTACTCTCGGAAGCTGCCAAAGTACAGATGACAGTTATGAGCATTTCTCTCGAAACATTTTCGGCAGAAAAGCAACTACCCCATAAGGCCATCTACCTGGAGCTATAGATTTATGTTTTCAAAGCAAATGCATGAGTCCAGACAATTTGACTGACTTAACTTTCTAAAATCATTTTTGAGATATTGTCTTCACTTTTTCACCTTTTTTTTTTTAAAAAAAAAAAAAAAAAAAAACAAAACAAAACAAATAAACAAACAAAAAAAAACATTTTCTACTTCAAGATGTGGAATCAAATTCACTAATTCACAAATCCAGAGAGTTGACTTCCTCTCCAATGAGGGTAATCGAGACCAAACCCTGACCCTTTATTAAAAATATCTGCTTAGGATGAGATTTACCCTAAAATCAGTGTCCATTAATCTTATTTAGGACCTCTCAATTGTTGTGATTTTTACTGTAAAATTCTATTGAAAACAAGCGACACGTAAATTTGGAGAAGAGCCAGATAGACGTGCAGAAATGTTACCCTCCAAACTTAAAATCAGTACTTATTTGGGGAGGGGAAAGGAGCAAGCTACCTGGTGTCAGCAAATAAACCAAGGAAATGGGAAGGTTAAAGCCGTGAAAATATCTTATTACATTGGACCACCTGCTTGTGTTGTCCTTTCCTCAAGAACTGGAGGGGGGGAAATCCCCTTGCCAGCCTGCAGGAGCGTGTGCCTTTTCTTCTGCATCTGCTGCCTTGTAGCCGTCACTGTTAATGAGTGCTGTAATTAATAGATAGCTCTCTCTTGTCTCTCTACTTGCACTCTGGGCTAAGCACTTTTCTCAAGTCAAGATTTGAAAGAAAGCGGGTCGGCACTGACTTACAGCAGCTCTGTGAATTCCTTTTAATTTAGAGCACTTACACCACCACTCCACTTATTACCTTATAATTACTGGACCGCTCTCACATACATTATGATCTTAGACTAGAGTTAGAAGTTATTAGGGTACTAAAACACGGTGTCTCTCTGTCTCTCTCTCCCTTTCTTTGACACTGAATTTTATACAGCTACGATTAAAAGTATCAATTAACTTTCACATTCTACCAACTTATTTTTTACATTATTTTTCTATACACTAACACTAAGGTCCTTTTATTGACTAAACAGGTACTTGGTCTTCTTTTCATCTCCTTGCTGCTGAGAGTCCACATATCAAGTCTCAAAATACAGCAAGAGGAGTCACTGCCTACAGTCTGTCATAACCAGCTTGATGGCACATTCCTGCCTAAGACTCCTGCTGCCGATTTTTTTTTTCTAATTTGTGCAATAATGAGCTCGAATGTCACCCTTCCCTTCCCAGAAAAAACATTTGCAATTAATTAGTTGCCCACATGCATGTTGTCTTAGCCAGTGCAAAAGTGGATATCTCCCACTCCAAGCGGTCAGAACCAAAATACAATCTCAGCTCTACAAGCATTAAAATCTGATCACCAGTGTTGCTTAGGCTAAAGCCAGTCTGCTGATGCTTCTGATGTAGCAGTTTCTGGTACTAACCAAGCCGGAGCTGCTTTTGGCTACAGCTTAAACAGTACAGACTGGACTGGTGCATGCTGGCAAAGCACAAATGCAGTTAAAACATTAACCATTTCAAGGAAAAGCGAAAACAACAGTGCCTGCCTCTGAGAACAAGAACTTTCTCCCGAAAAAAGGTGAACCAGAGACAAGGCTGGGTACTAGCTGTGGGTGGGCAACAGACACCTACTGCCTTCACTCCTTCATTACTGTAGCACATCTGAACGAACATAGTTCAAGAGCCATCTTATACGGATGGCAGGTGGGACCACCATCAAATTATCATGCTGAACATTTGGAATAATGCCTAAGCTAGATCTTTGTAAAATCCCTCCCTCAGTTCCCTCCTAATTACTACTTAGCTCGTTACACTGAAGAATTCCTAGACACCATTGCATTATAGTCTAAAACTACGGTTGGAGCTTAATTCTCTCTTCCTCTCTGTGTCTGAAATTCTACAGCTCTATTATTCAAGCCTGAAATATTCACAACTATCTATAAATTCAATTGTCAGCCGGTGGGTTTTATTCTAGACCTCACTTCAATCTAAAATTAGAGGCACTAAAATTCACATTAACTCTAAGAGGAATGTAGTGAAAAAGACTTTATTTCAAAAGAACACCTTTTTGTCACAAAGAGCTATTTTCAAGATGATGGCTTTATCTGCATTCAAAGAGAATAAGCCCAATTCCACATTGTGCTGTTAATGCAAAATTTTTAGGTCACATTGGATTAATAAAAATCTAAATTTAGTTAAGGTTTATGAATAGAAATAACATGTGTCATATAAAAACGTACAGTATTTATTTTAAAGCCTTGGTGGGGTTGTTTTTTTTTCTTTACTAGATTTTAAGTCAAATAACTGGCAGCTCCATTTGTGATGGGCTCTTCTCAGGTAAGTTTTCTAACAACTAGTAGCTCTCGGGTAAATTTTCCTTTCAATAAATTTAAGGAAAGTAACTAATTGGTTCTAGAAGCATTTCCATGCCCATATACAAGAGAAACTATACAGGATGCTACAAGCCTTGAGTAACATGCAATATATGGCATGGCTCTTCACATCTCTACCAAATTTACTTCACAACTTCTTCGCTTAAGTAAGACCTGAAGCCAGTTGCTGCTGGCAGAAAGGTACAATGACAGAGCACTTCAATGAGCAGCTCCTGCTTTAAAATGGTCTTAAACAATAGCGAATAAATTGTAATGCTGTGTGCTTATGAAAGGTTGAATATATTAAGAATTTATTAATGCAATCACATTCATATTTCCATCTACCTGCCACATTACTAATGATATTGACAGTGCTGACACTGGCTAAATCAGTATCAATATACAAGTGCAAAAATTAACTGCATCTGATTACAGTATATAGCCTTAAAAAAGAAAGCCTTCCCATTCGAGGCACTGGAAGCTCTTTATATTCCATCCATACATGCAACTGGTTCAGAAAGTTACTTTTCCCTCATCTCCTTTATTACCAATACCTAAAGGAGGTCAAAACAACACGCCAATACTTCATAATCTGTGAACACATTCCATGCTCGCTTTTCAAGTAGGAAAAGCTCTGCTTACAGCATCATGTGCGACTTCAGAGCTGTGCTGGTGGTTTCAGTGACAGTAATAATTAGTCACAATAATTAGAGTGAGCACCTTTATTATAGCCCAACACAAAAGTCCACTTTTACCTGCACATGAAGCTTTTCTTTTCTTGAAGAGAGAATTACCCTATTTCCATAAATGTCAGAATAGGTTGTTAGCAGTTGACATTTTTAATGACAGCTACTACGTGGGAGCATCAGCAAGGCAGGTGTTATTATGCACACCTAGGTACTTTTTACGCTAACACTGTAATCCATCTGATTTTCCTCCAATACATTCCTCTAACTCACATGGATGCCAACCAAAAAGGTCTTCAACTTGTTATCCTCATACTTGAACTCTGAAAACCAACGCATGAAAGTAAGTCTTGGTCTAGGTGACGCAGTAAGTCTGTCGCAGAGTCAGGAACGGAAGCCAGCTCCTTGCTTTGACCATAAAGATCACATTTCCTCTCAAATACTGCGCTTACTTTCGGTATCATTTCACAGGCCTATACCAAAATCAGTAGACAAAAAACAGTGCAGCATGTTCCAGTGATATCCCACACTCTGCTTCTCTGAATGCAAGAGGGAAAAAATGTTTGTGTGGAAAGAAACGAAAATGTTGCTTCTTGCACTGATGCCCACACCACCTCAAGACTTTCACCGGGTCCTGTTAAAGAGCTGAGTAACAATTTCAGCCGAGCTGCTTTACATTGAGCATTTTTTTCTGCTTCAGCTAATTGCACTCTAGTAGAGTGGCAAAATGTGAATCACTTAGTAGGAA